CCTCATGATGCCACCCCGCCCCCTCCAATTTATCACAACAATGCGGAATGGCATTGCTTAAACTTCCTTCTGGACTAACCCTCATGCCTTCAAATCTTGATAAGTTCCAAAACACCACCTTTAAGGCCTCCCCCCACCCTGAGAAAGGGCCCAATCCAGTCTTGAAACAAACATTTATCCATTAACTGCAAGCCCTGCTGTGACTCCTGCTGATGATCTGCCTATAACTTTATTTGGAATATTCTCAGCCCCGAGTCTCCGGGGGGGGGGGGGGGGAGAGACACACACACTTCATTGGCTTTCAAAGTGTGTCATACAGTCCCCTGCAGGTTTCTTTGCGGTTCCTCAAAGAGAAAAATCAGCAATGGTGGATGAGTTTCCCTAAAAGGCAAGTTGTCTGCACGCCACCAGTCTTCTCCTCCATAGTGAAGCTGCAGGAGATGATAGGGTGGATTCGAGGCCCTGGTGACCACTGGTGGAGCCCCGGAAGACCTGTCTAGCATGAATAGTCCTTCCTGTAATTTGCTCTGTAACCTTCAACAACTCACAGGGATCCCTCAGCAGACAAGGTGACGTGGATGGGTCTCCCTATCGAGTTGCCGGGACCTGACTTGTAATGGCAAACCCATCAACTCAGTTCGTTGTCCTCATTCCAAGTGGGCAGGTCTCTTTGTCCCTTTTTTTTACCGGTTTGGGTACTCCCCCCGTTCCCTAGAACAGCCTCCTTCGGATTCCTTCCATGGATCTCTAGAAGTTAAACCTCTGAGCTGTGTAGATAAAACCTCAAGCTCTAACTCTAGAAAATGAGCACACAACCATAGGAGCTAGATCCAGGTGTCAGCCGTGTCAGTCTGAAGCAGTAGAACAAACTTAGAGTCGCACGTGAGCTCCTGCCTTGGATAAAACTTTGTCGGTCTTAAAGGTGCTACTGGACTCTAAATTTGTTCAGCCGTAGGAGCATGAGCGATATGCTACTTTTCTGTTCCATGTGGTACCCTCCATGATGACAGTTTCGGAGGGTAGTTGCGTTGGTTTCATTAGAACAACTGGATTTGAGTCCAGAAGTGCCTTAAGAGACCAAGGAGGCGCTTTTGAGAGTCAAAGCCGACGGCAAAGGGAGCTCGGACTGTCAAAAGCCTACACCTCAGAAATCTTGTTGGTCTCTAAGGAGCTACTGGACTGACTCTCGCTATGGTACTGAGCGTGCACGAGCTCTAAGGCACCACCTAGCGTAGTGCTGGCTTGCTGTCAGGGTGAGACTGGGACCCTTGTCAAGGGAATCAGAGTGCTGCTCGTCTGCAGGAACAGCCCTAGTTTTCATGGCATAGCAATTCTCCTGAATCCAGAAACACAGAGAGAGAATAGCAATTCTCCTGAATCCAGAAACACACACAGAGACACACACGCCTTCGAATCTCTCCATGTTCCTGTTTCTCTCAGTGTGGCAACTGCTCTGTTTCTATTTCTACACATCCCATTCAGATTCTTGCTGTCTTCTGGGCATGGAGCAGGGGTCACTGGGGGTGCAGGGGGAGAATGTGTTTGTCATTTCCCTGCATTGTGCAGGGGGCTGGACTAGATGACCCAGGAGGTCCCTTCCAATTCTATGATTCTAAATCAAAACCTCTTGCCCATTAAGGCCAGAGATCTAGAATACAGCCTCTGGGGGAGGGGGGAGGCAGACCAGAGGAAAATTTACTTCCGAGTAAGCATGCAAAAGCAGAGTTTTGCCCTTCTAAGCCTATTTTCAGTGGCCTTAGATGGGCATAACTCTGTTTAGGATTGCACCCTTAGGGTTGCTTCCTTTTTCTCCTGGCCATCGTTTTTCTGTACCTTTGCAAGAAAATCCAACCAGCAAAATGTCCATAGAAATGCAACCACAGAGTAAAGCTTCCCCTGCTGGATTTTGGCCTGCCACACGGCTCTTAAGAGGGAAAACAGCAGGTCGGCAGCCACACCCAAGGGTCTCCCTTGCGTAGACACAGCCTACATTCGTTTAAAGAGACCCGGGCTGTGAGAAGGGCAAGGCAAACGAGGCCCAGTGCCGAGGGGCCCAGAAAAAAGTATACGATGATGACTAAAATATACCTTCTGTTATTATTACTCTCGTTATTTATGTATTTACCTTTTTACCAGAAATAACTGTCATGAAAATACAGAGGGGTGCAATTTTATATTCTTGCCCTGGGCGCAAATCCAGCTAGTTATGGCTCTGTAGGAGACGAGGAGGTACATTGCAATAGGCCAACTAATGTTTTCTTTCCCTTAATATTTTCTTAACTGGTTAACATTTATTCAGGCATTATCAGCCCCTCCCCCCAGCCCCCAAGCTTCAAAGGGTGATTGGGGAAAAGGCTTGTGAAAATCCACCTCGAGCCTAAACCTATGTGGCCACACTGATGTGGGTCGTATGCCGGTTCCACATTCATCTACCGGGGGAAAAAAGGACGGGTTGCCCTAACCAGGAACGAAAACCATGCCCACCACCTTTGCTGCTGGACACCGCTGCAGAACAAGGCACGGAGGACAGCGCACACGTCGGCTCCTGACCTAGCAAAGCAACCCCCTTCTAGAATCCTGCTTTTGAGCATGCATCATGTGCATGCGCAGATGTGCCACTGGAACTTTCCACGGAAGACATTTAGAAATAGAATGTCTTGGGGTCGTTGGAGCCAGGGCTATCCGAACACCCCACCGACTTCTGAGCCCATGAACCAGGAAGCCCTGGGCCCAAAGTCCCTTCTGCCATGAATGGACTAAGCGGCCTCAGGCCTTTCTGGACCTCAGCCCCGCCCCTGACCCCTCCCTCAGCCTCTTTAACAGGCTCCCCGAAGAACCACTGAATGTGAAATGCTTGGAAAGCTCTAAAGCACCGTACAAACACTCCGTCTTCACTATTACTTGTAAATGCCTTGGAACAACAACTTGTGCCTCTGTTCATATTGCCCCATGAAGCCACCTACCCAATGGGAGGGGGGCTGTACATATGGAGGGGAGCTGGAACTCAGAAGCAGGCCGAAAGAGGGGTTTTGTTTGGCGAGGAGGAGGACACTGCACCCATATCCATGACCCTCCCTTAGGTGCTTGGGCGGAGGGATTCTAGACAGACTGTATTTGAAAAGGAGGAAGAAGAGGAAAAGAAGAGGATACGGGATTTATACCCCATGGCCCTTCACTACCCAAAGGAGTCTCAGAGCAGCTTACAAACCCCTTTTCCCTTCCCCTCCCCACAACAGACACCCTGTGAGGGAGGTGGGGCTGAGAGAGATCTTTCCAGAACTGTCCTTGAGAGAACAGCTGTGCCAGAACTATGGCTTGCCCAAGGTCATCCAGCCAGGTGCAAGTGGAGGAGTGGGGACTCAAACCCGGTTCTTCCAGATTAGAGTCTGCGCACTTAACCACCACAACAAACTGGCAGGGAGGGGACCCTGGGGGGAGAGTTTTTCCCATTTGCATCCCTTGGCTTGCAGGAGCTGGAATACCAAGAGAGTCAGGATTCTGACTGGGGTAGAAGCAAATTCTCAACAGATCTCCTAAAGGGTTTTGTCGATGTCAACCTGTGATTGAATTTGGGGTGGGCCAGGAGAAGATTCTTAAGGAGGTCTGCTTAGGCCGAGCTGGGACAACCTAAGGTAGCCGCACAGAAGCCAGAGGCCCGTCAGCTATGGCTAAGGAATGCACTCAGAGGGGGGCATTTGACAGAGTCCTGGCACCGCTGGGGGAGGAAAAGTCTTGTTGATGGGATTTTGATGGGACAAGAAATCGATGGCACAGGGAGCTGCAAGTGTTTGCAGAAGTGATTCTTGCCTACCACTCTTTTGCATACGGAAGGCTGGAAAGCAATTTCCTTACAGCCACCCAAGTAAGTTCAAGGTGGACGGGTGCTTCCAACCCAGGCCTCATGGCTCAGTGGTAGGCTTCTTTAGTAATCCCCGTGGTGTTTCAGGGAGCCGCCGTCCAAGTGACAACACTCCTGGCTCCAGCTTCAGCTATTGGTGGGGAAGGAAATCAGAGGTGGGCCAGGAAGTTCTGTGTCCGGAGCTCCCGAAGATTGATAAAACGCAGGTCTTGGAAGTGCACAGCCCTTGCAGGTGAGGACGGGGCTTTTGCGACTTTTGGGAGCACCACATACGGAACTCCCACCCCACATCTGATTTGGCTCCAAGTAACGCTTCTGATTCACCTCTCTCCAGCCATCATGCCCCACCGTCACCCAAACAGGACACTCCTCCGTCAAGCAGTGTTCCCTCTAAGCTGAGTGAGTGTGAGCTTGCTCACAGTTTTTAACCTTCTGGCTCGCACATTTTTATCTTAGCTCAGGGAGGAGGGCTCCAGAGCAAACAAATGTATGGAGAAGCCAAATCACTTGCTCACAACTTTAATGCCAGTAGCTCACAAAGTAGAATTTTTGCTCACAAGTAAAAGAAGAACAGGAAGAGGAAGAAGAAGAAAAGAAAAAGAGGAGGAGGAGGAGGAAATTGGATTTATAGCCCACCCTTCACGACCCAAAGGAGTCTCAGAGCGGCTTACAAACAACTTTCCCTCCAACTCCCCACAACAGACACCCTGGGACGTAGGTGGGGCTGAGAGAGCTCTTTCGAGGACTGCCCTTGAGAGAACAGCTCTGATAGAACTTGTGACTGACCCAAGGTCACACCAGCAGCTACATGTGGAGGAGTGGGGAATCAAACTCGGTTCTCCCAGATTAGAGTCCAGACACTTAACATCAAACTGGCTCCACAGTTTAGAGGGAGCATTGCTGTCAAGTTGCAGCTGACATGGCAACCCCATACAGTTTTCAAGGCAAGAGACAAAAAGAGGTGGCTTGCCTTTGCCTGCCTCTGCGCAGCAACCCTGGGCTTCCTTGATGGTCTCCCACCCTGCTTAGCTTCTGAGATCTGAGAAGATCGGGCTGGGCTGGCCCATCCCGGTCAGAACTGCAGTGCGCTAGACCAGACAGTTAAGACAGCCCCAAATGTTCTCCTTGGTGGTCCTCTTACCTGAGAAGCCAACATGTGCTGGGAGAGGTGGAAAGGGAAGGGGGTTGCTGTACCAGCTGCTGCTTGCGTGGCCGCCAGGCCTCCATTCTCCAAGGTCCCTCCGCCTGCCACGGATGCCAGCAAGTGTCCCATGCCCATCGCAGAGAAGGCCCCCGGAGCCATGGCAAATTGTCCCGGGTGGATGAAAAAGGGCTGCCCGGCGCTTAGGGGGTTAAAGAACTGTTGCCCGTGGAGGCCCGAGAGAGCCAAGCTTTGCAGGTGCCCCGCGCTCAGGTGCGGAGGACTGTCCGTCTGAACCATCAGGGGGGCAAAGGACTCCTTGCTGCCCCCCAGGGGAGCACAGTCCCCGTGGGCCTCTTTCTTGGAGCCTTCCTGCAGGGGTGGTGGTGGCAGCGGCTCTTTCCTTCGCCCCTCCACTTTGTCTTTCTCCAGGCCCAGAGGGCTCAGCAGGGCCCCTTCGGCGAGGCCTTCTTTGGGCAAAGAGATCTCACTGGCTTTGCCGACTCGACTCCTCTCAGGGCTGCTGCTGCTGCGTGGACTGCGGTTTTCCAGGTCCGGACTGGGTCTCTTTCCTTCCAGGAGTTTTTCCGACTCGTGATCACTGCCTTTGTCTTCTGAAAGAAGAGAGTGGGAGGGGAAAACTGCAGCTGTCAATTGCACACAATATTTTGGAGCTGGTAGAAGGATAACTGCCCTGCGGTTCCCCATGTTCTGAATAGGACTTACTCTGTTTTTCATTATCTGTGGTGGGAAGAGTGCACCAGCCAGAAACAGGGCCTTTTCTATGGTGGCCCCTCACTTCCAGAACTCCCCCTGCAGAGATCCACCTGGCACCCAGCTGACTTGGTTTGAACTACTGTTTTTTTACTCCAGTTTTTCATTGCTATTTTTATGTTACCTTTTGTTCTTTTGCTTTGTTTGTTTTGTGTTTTTGATTGCCACTGCTGGCTTTGTCTTGTAGATTTTATGTTTGCTTTTTTTTTGGTAACCTGCTATTTTATAACCTGCTTTGATACCATTTTCCTTTTACATTGGAAGCCATCTCAAGAGCATTCCTGATCGAGCCTGAGAATGGAATATTTTAGAAAAACCAATGAAGTTCCCTATTATCAATAGGACTGCCTCTTCCTCTCTCTCTATCCCTGCCATATTTCCATTTAGGATATTTATCCACCCGCCTTTCTCTTGAACATTTCAAAGAAGCATAAGCCCACTTGCAATTTAACAAACAAAAAGATTTTTCACTCTCTTTCTTTGAAAGAAAAGTTGTTCTTAATATTCCCATATTAAAATGTCTGCAGTGTTTCCCTTTCCATCTCCCACAGTGATAACACAGTGGAACATCTTCTGGCTTGAAACTTAGAACATCTTCTGGCCTGAGACCTTGCTGGATGCTACTCCTATCATTGGGTGTGATTTGGATTATCGCCATCATCTATTGGTTTTGATCTGTAACTGTTGCTGTTTTAACCGGTCTTGTATTTTTAACTGTTTTATCTCTGTATTGTTCACGTTATTTTAACGCTGTTAGCCACCTTGAGCCAGCGTGTCTGGCAAGGTGGGATATAAATAGAAATAATAAATAAATAAACAAACAAATAGACCCAAAAACTGCCGGGGAGGGGGGGAGACTGCCCTTGTCAGTTAATTTCAAAGGAACCTCGTTGTTAATCATTAAAGCGCAGTGCACGGCGTGGAGATAAATAATCAACTAAAGCCGTAAAAACAAAGCAGGAGTGTGCCTGCATCTGACAGACTAAGTGATTTTTATTCTAGCCTAATCTTCCATGGACTGTAGACCCCCTTCGTCAGACGCAACAGACAGACCCTCAGTTGTCAGAGGTTGTAAACTGCAGGTTCTAAAGCCCATCCAATGCAACAAGTTCAGCTTTGAGGTTATTATGGTTTGCCATTGGTCTGCCTCTGTATAGGAGCCCTGGAATTCCTGGGTGGTCTCCCATCCAAGTACTAACCAGGGCCGACCCTGCTTAGCTTCCAAGATCAGGCTAGCCTGGGCTGGCCCAGGACCAAGCAAAAGACCCCGATCCATGTACCAGCTTTTGGGTTTTCCAGAATTCCTCTTTAGACTGGATGTTAATTTATTTTATTTTTTAAGGAAAAGGAGAAAGCTTTGAGACATGATGAGAAATTCTGGTGTAGACTGCTCATTGCGATATAAATCATAGATTTCAGAGCCAATACTGGTACCCAGAGACACTCAGGGTTGTCTGTGTGTGAAAGCGAGCTCAGAAAACACAGATAATAGCAAATGGGCCTTATGTCCGACATCTCTTTTCAGGAGAGAACTAAGAAATACAGTTAATATTTTGTATTATTTCAGTTAATTGAGTGTGGTGGATTTATGCTGGAATATACAACTGGCAATCTTTAAGATGGCACAGCATCGCTCTGTTTTCTGCAAGAGACCGATTCTCCCCTTTCAGAACTGAAACCGAAGCTGTTTGATTTCTTAATACAATATTGTAAAGGAGGAAGAGAAGAAACCGGCCAAAAATTAACCACAGAGTTTGTGCGGTGTGGGAGAAGTTTGCAAAAAACAGGCGCCAGAGGGCAGTAGAGAGCAGAGTCACAAGCCCAAGACTCGCCCAGAGGTAAACTAACTTATTTCCTTCGTTCTCATGCGGAGGCTGGATGAAATCGGGTGGTTTGCACCTACACTCTTGCCCCCTCCTCCTCATAGGCAGTGTAAATAAAGGGGCGGGGATTTCTTCCTCGACAGATTGAAAAATCCATAATTTTGCAAGGCCTAAACCAACACAGAAGTGGAAATCTGTTTTCACTGGAGACATTCGATCTGTTTTGATGCGGGGAATTGCCCTGGTTGAAATGGGTAATTGGGAGAAAAACTGTTTTGGCTTATTTTATTTATAAGGACCGCGGCTGCTCCTGGCGGGGCAGAGAGAGAGAGAAGGGAGGAGGAAATTTGCTAATAGAAGCAAAAAGATACGCTCAATCTCTCCATGTTCAGTTCCTTGCGGCTAGTGAAGTCAGCTGGTACCCTAAAGGTGAGCAAAGGTATCCTGGAAGAAGCTGCAGCGATCCGGGATCTATTCGGCTGGTCGCATTTTATATCCTTGAAACAGCCCCCCCCCCCTTCGAGTGATTCAGCGCCTCCAAGGAGACTCCCAAATAAGGTCAAGTAATTTACGGCCCCTGCTTTACTCCTAAGGAAGACGCATCGCCTTCCAAACAAACTTCCTTCCAAGTATGGGTGTAAAATATCGCAGCCTTGAGTGGCATTTCTCTCCCTGGGAGTGAGGCCGAGGGGAGACCGTCCGGTTTGCTTCCGAGTAGCCACGCATCGGGCCGGACCGCACACGAACTCCTCGTGGTTTTCCCCTAACTGTTCATTCGGGAGGTCTGAGCGACCCTCAACAGGTTTATAACAAGCCAGAATCTTCCCCCGGGCATCAGATAGATTTATTTCTAAAATAACGCACAAAACCCACAACACCACCGGGCTCCTAATCTTGCGCCTGGCCTGGAGAAACCCCCGGCTGCTCTCAGAAGCAAAGCAGAGTGGGCCCCTGGTCGCTATCCGGATGGGAGACCCCCAGGGCTGCGACGCAGAGGCAGGCCTTGGCAAACCGCCTCTGAACGTCTCTTGCTTGGAAGACGCTGCCTGCGGGGTCCTCACCGGTCGGCTGCGATTGGAGGAGGGCGCTTCCCACGCACCCGCACCCTCTGACCGTCAGCCTCCTCCTCTGTGGAAGGGTAGCGAGGAGTGTGCCTGCCTGCCCGCCATCCCCAGAATTAAACTCTGTTGGTCTTAAAGGCGCCCCTGTCGCTTCAGACCAGCGGCGGCCCACCTGAATCCCTCCCGGCGACTGAGCAAAGCTCGCGCCCAGTGGGCACCTTTAAGACCATCCAACTTTTCCCCAAGGGATAAGCTGTCGTGCGCCTCCAGGTGCTTGTCACAGCAAAGCAAAGCGAGGGTTCTTTTTAATCCGGGCAGGTTAGATCATCGGTTGGGGGGGGGGAGGATTTACCCCTCCCTTTGAAAGTTCGGTTCTGTTTGTGACGCTCATGTTTCTCTTGGGCGGCTGAAGAGTTGGGGGAGAAGGCGAAAACCAGCGGTTCCCTTGGGACAAAAATCCAAGGGAAGCGGGGTGGGGGGACCATTCTAGAACAAGAACTCATCTGTTCCCTTGCTGACCCTGGGGTTTGTCCGTCGGCTTTGGGCTCTCTCGTGGGGCGAAGCTGGAGTCCAGCGGCACCCTGAAGACCCACCCAATTCAATTATTCCAGGCATATGCCTTCTAAGGTATCCGAAGAAGAGGGCATGCCCCCAGAATCAGAGTCCGTAGGCCTTGGAGCAGTGTTCCCTCTAAGCGGAGTGAGTGTGAGCTAGCTCACAGGCTTTTAGCCTCCGGCTCCCACATTTTTGTCTCCGCTCAGGAAGGAGGGCTCCAGAGCGAAATAATGTATGCAGCAGCCAAATGGCTTGCTCACAACTTGAATGCCAGCCAAAGCAGAATTTTTGCTCACAGGACGCCACAGCTTAGCGGGAGCACTGCAGGTGCCGCTGGACGCAGACTTCGTTAACCCGAGCAGCAGGAGTCCGAGTGTAAGGCGCTCGGGGGGGGGAGCCGCTGGGTACCTCTGCTGTGGCGGTGCAGCCTGAGGGGGCTGGGGGCCGTGCTCAGCGGGGAGTGGAGCGGGTCGCGGGCCGGGGCCGGCTCGCACGAAGACGCGTCGGACTCGCCTCCGTCTCGGTCGGGCTTGCACTGGTCCTCGTACATCCGCAGCGAGGGGAGCGTCAGCTGTTTCCTGGGGGGGGGAGGCGGAGGAGGAAAGGAGACAGAAGGCAGGGCGGGGAGGGGGGTCAGCGACAGGCGCAAGTTGCGCGGCCGGGTCGGTTCCCCCGGGCTCCCTCCCTCCCTCCCTCCCTCCCTGACCCAACAGCGCTCCGCTCCTTGGAGGGGGGGGGGAAACCCATATCCGATACTGTG